GTTCGTGGATGAGGACGAGAAGATTTTGGTTATGTTGTAAATATAGACGTTAACATAACTATGAATAAAGAACAAGAGAGATCTCTTAAATTTGTGGGTAAAGAACTGAAGTTTGATGCTGTGGATAAAGCAATCACTAAAACACTAAACATAAATTTAAAAAAGTAACATATTGAAAACTATGATATGGATCCTGATGTGTTTAAAAAAAGGATCCTGATGTGTTCACAATTCTGATGTGTTAAAAAAAAAGTAACATATTGAAAACTATGATATGGATCCTGATGTGTTCAAAAAAAGGATTCTGATGTGTTTCAAAAAAAGGATCCTGATGTGTTCACAATCTCGAAGATGAACAAGTTAATAACTTCAAACTAATAACTACCACATATATGTCCAGGAAAAAAGCAAACTTGAATGATGAAAACAAAGCTAACAAACCAAAAATTTAAAACAAGTCAGCTCCTACTTCTAGAATCCCCGATAAAAATGAGTCAGATCTTCCTCCTAGACCCACCCATGGGTAAGTCATGCCATGATTCCAAGCTTAACATCTTCATGGATAAACTCGGTGAATCTGCTGTGGTTCGAGCTCGTCACAATCTTCCACCATGAGATATGTCGTCATTTTTTTTGCACAAACTTTTCAAAAGTTGCAGATTTCTCTTCAAATTAGTCCCAAAATATTGTCCACGAAATCTCATCCACAAGATCTCTTCAACGTAGTATGCTGAATTTTAATTATAATATTACTCATTTACAAATAGATATCCATGCTTACCTGTATACGCTTAGAGAGTCTCTAATGGTAAGTTACAATGTGTATCTCGTAATTTTATAAAGAAAAAAATACAAAATTAGGAGAGATAAGATATAAAGGTCCAGGCAGAAATATTTTTGCTACTGTTTCTTATACTCAAAATCACATTTTCTTCTCCTCTATTGGTCTATCTATTTAAAAATTAAAATGAAATTAATAATGAAAATAGAATATCATTATTTTTATTCTTTTTTAGAAATTAATAGAGTTTCTCACCAAGAAGGTTGCTATTATGTTTCCACATCCATCCACATGTGCTCCTCTATGCTTATATGTCTATATGTTGTCATCCAAGTTTTTCAAACATCCACATATCATTCATCCACAACACAATCAATGGATACGTGTACACATACATATTTAAAATATAACAAAAAATCATATCAAAGTGGATTTCAACTAATAAATAATAAAAATTCATAATTCATTATATCAGAGACTTTTTATATGTATCTTTAATTAATTTTTTTTTTAAAAAATTAAGAGGTAGATTAAATAATAATAATCTTACAATACCAAAAAAAGAATATAATCAACATCTAGAGTGTCCACCTCAGCATATTTAACCAACCAATCATTTACTAATGACATGTCATTTCTTTGGCAAAAATATTTAGACCATGTCATTACATATGCAGTTAACTTTTTTTCATATATCTCTTTTTTCATGAAAATTTTTTGGTACAAAAACCAATCACCTTTCTCAGTTCGATAATCGATTCGATTTCTATAATAAACGCTCTTATTATGACTTCTATTAAAGAGGGTTTTCGTTTGTAAAAACGAAAGTCGAATTATAAAAAACGCTCTCTTTAGATTTTTATTTCATTTTCTTTCTAACTATCCTTCCACATCACAGTGAGACCACCACTAAAACCAATTGGCTCCACCGTGAACAGCTTATCATACCCCAAACATTTTTGTAATTCCGGAATATACGCGAACTTTTGTTTTGTCTCCATCAAGAAAATAAAGTCCGGAAAGTGAAGACGCCTCACTTCCCGAATTCTTTGAACTGTCTCAATGCCTCCTGCACCTCGACAGTTCCAGCACCAAATACTCATTGGAGTGGCAGCGGCTTCAATATGGAAGCCACCGTAGATTCTGTGAT